CAGCAGCCCGCTCAAGGCGTGCGCGTTCAGAGCCTCGCAGCTAGTTACGAGAGAGACGCCGGAGAGCCGCGTTGCGAGCGCTGCCAGCTGCGCGTCGAGCGCCGCGTCCGCGCCGTCCTCGCGCAGCAAGGCTGCGCGAAAAGCGAAAACTGCGTTGCGAAAAAGCAGATCGCTCATGCTCGCCAGAAGACTGCGGAATGCACAGCGCAGGCGCAAACGCGAGAGTGCTAATTAGCGGAATAAATTAAGACAGAAGCAAATATTCCATGATCAGCTCGAAAATTGATGATGCCGAAGTCGAATCAGTCGCAAGAGCCAAACGCGCTGAACACCGTTTTTAGCCAGCTCAAGGCAAACGTCAGCAACATCTCGCGACTGACCTCGGACGTAGGCTCGAACATTCTGCACTATGTCTCGAAAAACGTGCCCAGTAGGTCGCAGCGGCCGCATACGCAGAACAGCCAGCGCTCCGTCAAGGCGGCGAGGCCTTTGGCTTTGAGGTGAACTTCGCGCTCCGCGAAGCGGCCTCGCAAAAGCCGGCTGCGAGTTTGACCAACTTGACGGACGTCGACGTCACCGCAACGCACAGCGAGCCCGCGACGTTTCGCTTCACCTGGGTCGGCTGCGTAGACGATTTCCGCGTGCGCTTCGCCTCGGGCGGCGAAAACGTGTTCAGCTGCCGACTCCAGCACATCGGATACAATTTGAGCGTCGAAGTGCGCGGCACATCGGCTTCAGGCGCGGAACTCGGCGTGGCGGTGTTGCACTTCGGCCGCGTAGCGCTGCACCCCGCGCTGCTGGGTTCGCTGTGCAGCGCGCCGCAGCGCAAGAGCGAAGCGTTTTTGCTCCGCGTGTTCGTCGGCGAAAAGCTTCGCGACGGCCGGCTTGAGATCGACGAAGAGAGTGTGCGCCTGTATTGCGGCGAAGCCAGCGAGAGCGTCGCGGCAGTGCCGCTCTCCGCGGTACAGCGTGTGACTTCGGCCATGAACAAAGTGTGCGTCGACAGCGGCGCCGCGCACGCCGCGCTCGTAGTGGCGCCCGTTTCGCGCTTCCAGCAAGAGGCCATTTGTTTGCGTCTGCAGCTGCTGTTAGCCGCGCACCACGCGCCTGCTCTGGCGTTTCTCGGACGCAAACTGCCCGGCAGTGCTGCGTCCGCGCCCGCGCCGGACGAAGCACCATCGGACCGCGCGATCGGCAACCAAGCGGCCGACGTCGCGAGCCGCGTCGCTCTTCGCAACGTTCTGGAGCTCGCGCACAGCGCGACGATCGAGCTCGAGAGCGCGCAACGGGAGCTCGAAGAGCGGGCCGCGCTGGTCTCATCGCTCCGGGAAGAGTACGAGGACACGATCAAGGCGTACAATGCGATCTTGAGCGAGTCGATGGGCGGGCGCGACGTCGAGCTCTGCAACGAGAAAATCAAAAGGCAAAAGGAAAACGCCGAGATCATCGGTCTGCGGGACATAGTTAGGGCGCAAAACGAAGAGATCAAGGACCTCAAGCGCCAGTTGCGCTGTCTCAGCGGATAGCTATCGCTCGCCACGCGCGGCTCCACGCAGGCAGAGCGCCGCGCGCGCCTCAGCCGCGCCGGAAGCGCCACGCAAGCACGTTCAGCGCGAACAGCGCCACGTTTGCGACTAGCAAGTTCCGCGTGAGTTTCTCGCGCAGCCCCGACTTCGAGGCTGCCACAGCATTGTGAAACTGCGGGCCGCCCACGTCGAGGCAGT